ATAGTTATATTATGTTAATTATTTGTTATTAATTAAATATTTATTTTTCCTTACAACATCAGCCTGATGCAAAAATTGTCTCAAAGAACTAGTAGTTTGTTCTGTTATCTGAAGTACCGTATTTCAATGGTTTTGATAGTTTCAGGAACATTCCATATATCTCTTTCGTAATTTAAATACTCTGGACTATGTCTGAAACTTCAATATATTGCTATGACATTGATTATTTTATCTATGTGTACAGCTATTTTAGAAATCGTATATGATCTTAGCTTACTAGATGGCACCATTAACTTAATTATGATTTGTTTTTGTTTTTAATCTGTACCCTTCAAATACATGTAAAACAAAAACTTACTTTTCAGTGTTTTCTGTACATACCTGGAACTGTTTGTTCAAGCTCTGCAGTATTACTAAATGATTCTGTGTTTTAATGTCATGTGTTGTGGTCATGTCTAGGAGTGACAGGTCACATTGTCATGTTTTTGCCTTAGTTTATAATTCACATGAGTGGATGATCAATCAAGACATTTATATGAGTTGAAACATTTTTTTCAGTCTGGACATAATTTGTAATCATGTGCAGCTGGATTTAATCCCAGGAAAGGGAGTCTTTGAATACAATATAGAGTTCTTCCCACAAGAAAATAACCGATTTTTAAGAAATCAGATGATAAGGCAGCAAGAGGAGTTACTAGGAGATGCTCTTTTCTTCAGTGAAGAAAAATTGTTTCTTTCCACATCAAGTTTTGAAGTATGTATTTTTATTTAACTTGTATTTCATTATACATTCACAAAAAGTTCAAATTAGCATCAGAAGTGTTAAGACACCTATTGAAAACAAAAATGTATGCTCATATTTTATGCTCTCCTAATACACATGTTTAATATATGGTTTACTAGTTCATTACTGTTTGTTTATGGACCTCACGCATATCAAGTAACAGTACCTACATCTTCATTATTTTTATATTCATCTATATCTTTTCCTTTTTTCGTTTTCTTTTTCCTTCCTGTATTTTCCATTTCCTTCTTTCTATCTCTTTTTTCTTTCTTCTTCATTTTCCCCTTAAAAGCTTGCTGTTTCCATCTTCCACAATTTTTGGTCGTCCCAATCTCCTTCTTTGAAGTCTCTTTCCTCCACAGCTTCCTGTATATATTTGTATCATTCTAAAATTGGTGATCCTCTTCTCCTGTCAGGTAGTTGCCATGTTCAAATCATGTGTGACCATCTGTTTTTCAGCATATATAAACTTATTGGAAAATTAAGTAGAAGTAATTAATTAAAAATTACACAAGGGATTGCATGCAATAACATTAAGCATTGATTTGTCAAAAGCATGTGAGATGATTGACCATGATAAAATGTTAGATGCACTGGAAAGCATAGGAGTAAGAGGTAATGTTTTACAGTTATTCAAAAACTATCTAGAAGGAAGATCATTAAGGGGAAGTTTCTTAGGGCCAATCCTCTACTTAATATTTGCCAATGACTTAAAAAATTACCTAGAAAGCAGTTCTTATTATATATATGCAGATTACAAGATAGCTATTATCCATAAACAAAGATCAAAAGAAGGCAGAAAAAGAATTACAGGAAAAATTCGGGATGTTCCAAAAATGGAGCCATGACAAAGGGCTAATAATAAAATAGAAAAAGACTAAAATATTGCATATCACAGCACTAAAAATTGAAAGGACACAATTTAAAATATTCTTTCACAAAGTTGATTGTATACACAAAAACTTTAAGAACAGTCAATGTCATAGTATAATTAATTCTGTTAGTAAACTGAAGTATTTGGGCATAACTTTTGATCAAAATCTGAGCTGGAGAGGGCAGATTTTGGATTTAAGCAAGAAAAGAAGAGCATGTCTGTGGAAACTAATGAGGATAAAAGATTTTGGATCTTATAAAATTTTCAAATTAGTCTAATTCTCTTTAATAGAGACTCTGATCAGATATGGAATTGGAGTTAGAAGAGCTGCATCAAAAACCCATGTAGGGATCATTCAAAATTTGCAGAAAAAATGCATTAAAATTCTCAATGAAACAACAATATAACAAACTTAACCCTGGAAGAGAGTACATCAGTGCATTGAATCATGACTATTAGAAAATTGCATGAATTTCAAATTTTACAAAGAAATTTTTTCAGTGAGGAATATAGAAAAATTGGTGATAACAATTATGTTATTAGAAAGAAACACAATTTCATACTACCTAAGACTTTAAATAAATTTGGAGAGAAAATGCTTAAAATAGCTATTCCAAAACTGCTCAACTCGCTGTCAGATGAAATGATAGAAGTTACATCCAAAAGAGAATTGAAAAAGAAACTAAAAGACTGGCTTACTAGAAAGAAAAAAAAAGAAGCTAAACAAAATAATTAATTATTTATAAAAACAAACAAGCTAAAACCAGACTTTACCAATAATATGCTGTCAATTTTTGACTTGGTCAAATGCAATCTCTTTTTTTCCTGTTGCCTGTGCATTTTGCATGTTGTATTTTTTACAATTGATTTGTTATTTCAAATAATAATCTGAAGTTAATGATAAAATGTGTTTGCAATTTATAATTCATTTATTAAACTAGAAAATAATTGTTAATAATAGAATGTTTGATATTGTTGTATTGCATGTTTGATCATTTTAATTCTGTAGTTAATCTGCAGTTAATGATAAAATATTTTTAATTTTTTAATTTTTGTTGTTTTAATTACGTAAGTTACAATAAGTTGACTATGTTTCTTTTGTGATTATTTCTTGGGTGATGACAATAATTTGAATTCTGGTGAAGGCATAAAATGTAATTAGTATTATTGTTGTTATTATTATTATTATTATTATTATTATTATTATTATTATTATTATTTTATTTATTTTTTTGCTCTTAATATAAGTATTAAGGTACACTGTATAAGAGTAAGATAAGTATAAGATGCACTGTATTTCTCTAAGTGCTGAGGATTGTCGCATTCTTCTACAATTTTGCATAGTTTTCCTCCTGATCAAATGTTTTTTCAAGGTCTATAAAAGCTCTCACTGTAGATATAACATGTGCCAGGAAAGTCTCTCTGCCACCGAACCTCATCAGGACTTCCTATTTAAAATTGTATTTATGTTGGTAGTAACCAGATGACTGGTAAACGACTGAAGTGGACAACACTGCAGCATCTATTACGATTGTAGTGAGAACCATTAAGTATTCAAGCTGCAGCTCATACTGCCAATATAATTCAGTTCCAAGCACTCTCCCCAGCAAGTTGCCATTGCGGAGAGACTTTCTTGGCCCGCTGTATTACATTTTTTGATTTTCTTTTGTTTAAGGTCGCATTAACTACGAGGTCATTAGCGACCACTATTGATTTAACGCTAGGGGTATCTAAATACTGAATGAAGTTATATAGTGGTGATGAGGAGTGAAAGAACGAACATAATTACAACTACTCGAACCCGCCGTTGGCCCCAGATCGCCGCGTCTCGGCCGCCCGGATCGGCTAAATTCTCCTTGTTTCTCTAGAAGCTTGTTAATTGAGAAAATCATGTCTATCATCTATTTGGTCTAAAACATTTTGTTCATCCAGAAGAAATATTTCTGAAATGCTATTTGATCTTTTAACTTTATGTTTAGCATACACTTTATATCCAGCATTGAGCAGACTCGTACTCGACTCGTTGATTCCATTTGCTTCAGGTGATTTTCTGTTTTGACATATCTTCAATGCCTCCATAAATTCTTCCATGTTTATGGAATCTATAGTTTCATCAAAATATATTTGAATCTTTTCTGGTGTAACATTTGATTTTCATTGTTTTTTGGTAATAATTGAGTCAAGTGGAAACAGGGTTAATTTCAATTGGGTCTTTTTCATCTTTGTTCATCTGTTTTAGTATTTTGACAGCTTTATTTTGTTGTCCTTGTATACTGTGATGACCCGTTGACTAGCCATCACAGAGGGGAAGTACCGTCACACACAAGTAGTGAATTTTAGGTTGGACACGCTAAATGTATTTAGTACGCGCCAAGCAATTAACTTACGTACCATCCGGCTCCGGTATGGAGGACCCCAGGGGTGGACTCTCTGAGTCGAAGAAATGCATCATGCTTACTAATCTACTATTTAAATGATACACTGTTGGAGTCTTTTTTAAGTGTCGCCCCTTCTGAGTGGCGAGAACACGTTTATTAAAATCAAAATAAACTTATTACTTATACAAAAGTCTAATTGACCATTCGTATTTTGCATTCTCCAGTTCAGAAATGCTACTTAGTTTTTTTTATGGAGATGGACAAATATATGGGTTCGTAGGCTTCCGCGGCTGGAGTCAATGCATTCTTGGCTATGCGGAATGAGCCGCGTCTCGGTCAATTGTGCTGACGTTTCGGCCATCTCGCTGTGGCCTTCTTCAGAGCTATACTGCGTGTCTCATCTTATAGGAAAGGCGTGTGGGCCGACTGGGCGCATCAGCGGCCAATAGGACAAATATATATTTGCTGATGATAATTTGTTTAGCTCGCCTCGAAGGATTGCACACACGCGAGCTGTTTCCAGGGCAGTTCCAGTCGTGACGTCGCGGCGGGGCTCTGCTGGAGGAAGGCCTCGGATTTGGCAGGAATCTCGAGCCCTCTTTGCACTCGCCCAGGACTTAGCAACTCCCCGCAACCATTCTCGTGGGAAAGAATCTAGACGAAGTCGTAGGCTTCCGCGGCCATACCTGCATACCAGCCCTGAGGAAGACCACGACAAGGTGGTCGAAACGTCGGCCACACAGCCTTCGACGCGGCGTCACTCGGACAGCCAAGATAAACAGCCCAGCCCAGACGGGCTGCGCGCTCATTGAGTACCTTTTCAGATGTCGGCTCGACCGGTCCGTCGAACGAAATTAATTCCGCTTTTATCAGATGTCGAACGGTCGAATTGTTTAGGCCAGCAAGTAATGATCAGTCGCGTCGTGTCTGATCTGCTAAGTTATGCTGACACCAGTCCCCTCAACATCTCATTGCCGAGTTACGTCTGTGTCTCTCTACGTTCTGATCTCTAGTGTCTTTTCGTTTCTCTGCCTGCTGCTCCCTTGCTGCTTATCCTCTTCCCTCTAGAAATCCCCTTTTCTCAGTAACGTGCGTTATAACGTGTGTTCTTTTATATTCATAAAATAATATTTAGTTTCTACTATTAGAAAAATCGAAAAATTAAGAAAATTTAAAAAACAAAGTACTTTGGACGGTGATAGAGGGCAGCTGGCAAAAGGATGGGGCAAGTCCGAATAGCTAGCCGAGATCACAAGAAATAGAAAACTAATACGGGAAAGTCTGTGACATTCTGTAGCACCATTAGTTATCCCTGTGGTGCATAACTTCTGTCTTGTTCGTTCATCAAGTTTCTCGAACTTTCTACCGGTTTCACTCATCGAGAATCACGGCAATCCCTCCCCTTGGCGATCTATTTTTTCTGTCTTTAATTGGACGCTTTTGTGCGACCGCGGGCTCGTGGCGCCCTCGCGAAATGGCAAAGCTGCTGTCAGCAGTCACGCTGATTATTTCCATTCTTCCTCGGGGATTAATAGACTCAGTACAACTGTTCCGGTGCTCAATCCGACGATCGCCGGGGTCAAAGGATGAGGCGGAGCGTTGGGAGGGGCTCCCTCCCGGCTAGAGAAGAGACTCGCTGAGGAGACCCGGGGGAATCTGTCTTTGTGAGCCTGAGTAATTTAGAAAAGAGTAAATGTCTACAAACGCGAAAAATGGCGCACGGCGTAAATCATTTGTTAACCAGGTACAATGAAAAAAGTTAAAGGTGCTTTTGAAAAATTTGAACGGCCAAAACAAGGAAATTGACGTACAAAATATGATTTTTTTCGGGATGATTGACTGACTGTCCTACAGGGATAACTAATCGTGCTACAGAATGTCACAGACGTTCCCGTATTAGTTTTCTATTTCTTGTGATCTCGGCTAGCTATTTGGACTTGCCCCATCCTTTTGACAGCTGTCCTCTATCGCCGTCCAAAGTACTTTTTTTTAAATTTACTTATTTTTTCGATTTTTCTAATAGTAGAAACGAAATAACGAAATATTATTTTATGAATATTAAAGAACAGTAAAACCTCGCCTTAATTGCAATTTTCTTTGAAAAATTTTGTAGCCGTTTTTAAGAAAATGGAGCTTAAGCGCTATTATAATTTCGAAATTTGAAGATCTTTTTCCCAGAACCTTTTTGAGTTTTCGAAAAAATTCTTTTAAAGTCATTTGAAATACTTTAACTCAAAATATACAATAGTGTTTACAAATTGCTAGAATGTGCATATTAACGGCGTGAGAGATCTTTCAAAAAATTAAATTTGTGTTACTTTGAAAAAAAACCAACAACAAGGAAATACTCCCAAATGTATATTTGTAATAAATGTATATTTGTATAAATGTATTTAATATGTCATATTAAAGAGTGCAATTAGCACTCTCCCGTTCGAAAAGTTTGAAGAAACAATTTGGAGCTGTTTTTGAGAAAATGTCGTTTGAGCGTTTCTGAAAATGCGGAATTTTGAGCTAGTTTCCACAGAAAACTTGTTTTCGACACACTTTATGACATTATTTAAAACACATACATTAATGGGAACAAATTGCCGTTAATATAAATATTAACGATGTGAGGGACAAGTAAAAAAATGACTTTTTGTAATTTTTGAAAAAACAAAAGAATAGAACAATTTGCCATCTTTATGTCATCTTATAGAGTACATTTACCACTATTCCTACCAAAAGTTTTGATCAGGTATTTGAGAAAAAGTTTTTGTAATTTTTTTAAAAAATTGCACATATTGCGCGAAAACTACTAAAATTTTCAAAAAATGTACATGTCCTTAATGATAGAACTCACTAAGGAGAACAAATTTACGATTTCGAAAATTCGACGAAATTTTCGAAAATTCAGAGTTCGACCTAAAAATCACACCTGTGCTACCTTTGTAAGTGAATTTTACCCTATTTCTTACTCTAAAATTTTGAAAATGTCCGGGGTCTTCATGTAAAGTACCCCTAAATTTTTAAGAAAGTTTTTTTAAAACCGTAGCGTCTCGAGTCCAGCCGGATTGACTGAGGAATATTCAGATTGGAAAAAATCCTACGTATGGTTTAGACGCTAGTGGTGTTCATAGACGGATGGACAGTCAGATGGACTTTTGAGAAAAAACACGTTTTCAGTATCAAAGTATCCCAAAACGTGTATTTCCGTTCAATGTTCCATAGCATTACAAAACTTTCCCTCTACAACGTATAATACTCCGTATATACATACGTACATATACAGGAAAGTAAAAAATAGTGTTGTAAATGAGACATGCTCCTTGTGTTATAATAAATCCATTAGAGAAGAACTAATATAATGCAGCTTCTTGTATTATACCTAAGAGAGTACTCTAATCAAACATTGTCACATTATCATAGATAAAATCGTTTTATTTTAATAGGAAAAGGATAGTTCTAAAATTATTTAATGTATATATTTACAGGAAAGATATTTTGAATGCATTCACCCAACTAGTGACATAAGAGTGAAGATGGTTATGAAATACAAAGGGCCTGCCTCAGACACAGATTCTGAAAAAATTTTTAATATGATTTTTAGAAAGATTATGATCTATTTGGGCATGAAAAATGTTGGATGCGAGTTTTTAGATCCTTTTGCAAGTATCAACCTAACACATTATGGGTAAGTAATTGAGACAGAACATGCATGCCTATTACACTATAATTGATGCTCACATGAATTATCGTTGTATTATCATTATCAAGTATTTATTAACACATGTAAGAAAATTTTTTATTATTTTTCTCAGTGTTTCATAAAACTTGTATTTTTACATCTTCATTTGTGACAAAATATTAATGCAACTGAAATGAATGCAGATTTTTTTTGCCTCACAGTGGGTTAAGCATTTATGTTATCAGCTTCATGTATTGTGATAGATTTATTTCTTAGAAAGAAAATTAAAAATGTGTTCAATTTCAGCTTAGAGATTTGGCCTGGTTTTGCAACAAATGTTCTACAATGTGATGGAGGGCTGCAAGTCTCTTTTAATGCTTCTAATTGTGTTGTACACAGCAAATCTGTTTTGGAGCTTATGTAAGTACAGTATATTCTTAGTTTTAAATATTTGTTAGTGTAGCAAGTATGCTTATTTAACGCTGACTAAATAACAATGCCTAATTTATCTATATCAAGAAAAGGTTACAATACAAATATTTTCAGTGATTAGTATTTTCTGTCTATTATTTGTTTGTACTGATCATATTTTTGTAAGCATTTGTGTAGAGATAAAGTGGTATGTAGTTACCTTCATTCATAATTAGAACTATTTCATCAATTCTATAGACATATGTATATGAGGTAGTAAAAATAGTGGTACCAATTAATTTAATTGTGATCTTGCATTACTGATGCACAAACGAACGAACAAAAATTAATTAAGTTTCCTATTGCTGAACATACTTCTTTACAAGAAAATCACATTCTCTTGTAACTAATATCTCAGTGAAATTTGAAAAATATCACAATATTACACAATCTGTAATATCATGTCTGAATGCTTTAGTACATTGTAATAGAAATGTTAAAATGCATTCATTTCAAACTGTATATGATTAGATTATGATTAGAGCAAGTGTTGCAAATAACTTGTGAAATGTAATGAGTCTTTAGACATGTTTCACATCATCTTGTGGTCTAACATAAATGCATTAACAAAATAATAAAATTGGTTTAATGTTCTACATTCAGCTTCTTATCATTGGACCTGCACCATTCATTAAATAAGTACAAATGTATTTCTTTAGTAATAGTTAATATTTACTTTGCCACACTAGTGCAAGAAGTGAATTTCACCACTTAGATTCTGTATCTTTGCAACAAATTAATACATCAAAGTGTGAAAAAGATTTTGTGACACATGGATTTTATTCCAAGTGTTGAAACTCTCATTTGAAATTACAAACGTTGGTAACATTCACATACAGATACCGATCACTGTATTAGCATGTCTTTTGTAGAAATTATATTTTTTATAATCAGTATGCTTCTAGCTGTAAAAAAACTATGACTAGCAAGGGTTTCTAAGAATTTTCTCTTTTGGAGAAGCCTAAATGATCTCTGCTTCAATATATTGGACAGGGTATAACCTACTATATTTTTATGTTTTTGATTTTTCTCTCTACTTTTATCACCATACAATTTTCATGATTTTTTTCCCTCTGAACGTTTTCTTTCCACTTAACATAAGGTTCAATTATAATTTACTAATTAATTTATATCTTCTTTCTCTTTAATAGTTTTCCCTTTTGTGTTCATATATAAAAGCTATGCTCTCAGTCCAATCAATCCTAAATTCAGAAATTATGGTAATTCAAGATGATTAAACAAAGAAACAACACACATCAAGTAAATCTGTAGTTTCTCATTTGTTAAAATATAAATTTCCTCTAAAGACCTAATAAATAAAGTGTGTTTTTGAGCTAGTGAGTGTCAACTATATAAGTCCATAGAAGAGATTTCTTTTAATGTGGACATTTTTGGAAATATTTGGAGGATCTTCTATGTATGGTATAGATACTATTCACTTGCTATTGTTTTTGTTTGTTTTTTAAATAAATGCAATATGATTTACAGTTAATATTATTAATTATTATTGATTGATTCATAATTAGTGATATTATTGATTAATAATTATTGGATTGTTTGGCTATTTTATATTTCAATTCTGTATTTTTGTTCACCACTGTTACAGATACCATATTCAACAAGAGAAACCAAATACGTTCCAAGAAGAGTGTTCAAGACTGATTACTGGTGCTACCGTTATAACAAGATACAATCATAAAATTTATAAAGTAAAATACATTTGCTGGGATAAGCACCCAGAATCCTCTTTCACAACAAATCAGGAAAATCAAATAACTTATTTAGATACTACACCAAGTCAACTTCAAATAACAGTCCAGGATATGGGTCAGCCCCTCTTATTAGCTCATGCTATGAAAACAATTAATATTCTAAATGAAGATTTCGAAGAGGAGTTATGTATAACTCTCATCCCAGAACTGTGTTACTTTATTGGGTTGACCAAGGAAATGAGAATGGATCGAAGATTGATGAGGGATATTACCCAGAGATTCCAGCCATCACCTACCATCCTACACGATGGAATATGCAAACTTTTGCAGAAGATTGATGGTAAGCAGCTAGGATAAAAATGTGATATGTGTATTTTTTCAGGTAAAGAAACCATCTGATAAAGATATCTTTTATCTGATAGAGAATGTGATGATATGAAACACCTCATAAAAAAATTTACATCTTGTAAAGAAATTTCTGATAAAGAAAACAATAATCCAAAATCTGCCAGAGACAAGTTTCAGTAGAACATTTCCTGCCATGTTTGACTACTACCACCTACTACTACTACCTACTACCAGTACCATTATCAGTATCACTATCACTACTGGCACTACTACCACTACCACTACTAGTACTTTTGTCGGTAGGTGAAAATGTACTTGCGTCGGTAGGTGAAAAATCTGCTTGCAGATACCTTGGAGCCGTGTTCAAGGTTATGGGTTGATGCATTCCTTCTACCACTATAAAACATCTCTTTGCAACATACCTCTCAGCCAGTGCAAATCTGTTGAGCACATTACTTCACACTGGCGAGGCTTCTTTATGTTGTGTTCCTGTCGATTCTGTCTTCATACTCTTGCTTGTTCTTTAGGATTGTTTCTACATACTTTTGTATAAGTCTGCCTTTTTTGTCGACATCATTATTCTTGTCATTTTGTCTGGATTGATTTCTTCTTGAATTTTATTGTTTAGTTTTTGTCTCTCTGGATACCATTCCTTGCAATCAAGGATTGTGTGACACACACCATCTGTGATGCTATCACAGTGGGCACATTTTTCATCAAATCTTTTTAGGTAGTGGTTTAAGTTTCTGTGTCCTGTTAGAGCTTGGGTCATATACTAGAATTGCACTTTGCTATGCTTTCTGTTCTTCCATGTGTTTATGACGATGTTGAAGTGGTGTCCATCTTTTGTTAAAGACATTGTCCCATCTCTTTTGCCATCAGTTGAGTAGTCTTGCTCTTGCATTCTTCTTACAGTGTCTTTTCTTTGGAAGTCCTATATTTCCTCTACCAAGTAGATCAATGTTTGTTTGTTTCCAGAGCTTTAGCCCAAACTGGCGCTGCGTACAAGAGGTGTGATTGAGCCATACTTGCCAGAAGGCGTCTCTTTTTTTAAGGGGGGGGGGGCTCGTATATGTGTCAGATTAAAAAAACATATAACAAAAATAACAATATTTGCTTAACAAAAGAATTTCCACTATTGCTCTCTTATGTATCTTATAGTTTTGTCATAATTCTGTGTATTCTGTTGCACAAGTAGTCCCAAAACAGTTTTTGTAGGATTGTGTGGGTATACAACAGAGTATAAAAGCTGAGGACATTTGTCATAAACAAAGAAAAATTAGTCAGACAACAGGAGACGTTTCCATGTTCAGGGCATATCTCTCAGAAGTAATTGCAATTTTGCACCAGCCTAGATTATTGAGTACTGATGAAAATATTTTTCTTGCAGGCAATGACATGTCGAAAAGACTGCTAAATGCATGGGGTTTAAATGTTGGTGTATGTCCCCTGAGACTTGAATCAAGAGTTCTAAACCAAGAGACTTTGTGGTATAAGAACGCAAGAATAGACCTTGCTGCTGGTCAGGCAAGATGGTCTGTCGACCATCAGTTCTTAATCAAAGTAAGTACTATATCTTTTATGTTTTTATCTTCCTATGTTTCTATTTCAAATTATGCACTTTTACATGTCAAATAATACACAATTTATCTGTATTTAACACAATATGACAAATAGAAGCTCCTCTCTCAATCACACTACAAAACTTTGTTTCTTGCATCATGGTAGAAAATTGAAATTGTTTTCAAATTTTACTTTATATGTTGATTGGGTTGTTAGTAGAACACAATGTTTATAAATTTAAGAATAATGCAATTAATGTGAGCAATGTAGATTACTGTTCATTACTTCATACTCAATTAAATAGTATAAGAATTAAATTGCTATAAGCTAATTGAGATTTTAGTGATGCAACATTTAATTGTTTTGTAAGATAGTTTTGTAGATACACCACACACTTCCATACACTAATAAATTAAAATGGCTTTTACTAACCAAATTTTAAAGTGTTCATAAGGCTCCTTTTCCTGTCAAATCTTTCATTTTACTATGTCATTACGAGGGCGCATATTTCTACGATTTTGAATTTTTTGTCCATTGTTTCAGGACATCACAAAGTGAAATTTCTTGACACTTGGTTAGAATTAGATACTATGTAGATTAATATGTTAGTGCCTTTTTGGCTGATTTTCTCTGTTGCATATTCTTGTAATTATAGGAGTATATTTTGCATATTTCATTAAAATTGATACTTATCCGTAAAACATCTAATGTTTGTGTAGAATCTATTTATTTGTGAGTGTTCACTGATTAGAACGACTTTGTCACAGTTTCCTTTTTTTTTCTATAGATGATAAAATATCTGTGCAAATATAGGATATTTCATGATATATTTTTTAAATCGGGCAGAAAAAATGGAACAATACATATAAAGTCCCTATCATGTGATTCATAGCCAGATGAATTTTCACCACTAATGGATGTTTCATTGAGAAAAGATAAATCTTCAAAACGACCATCATTTTCAGGGATATTAAATTCGAGTTAATGTTAGTCTTTTGAATAGTTTGATCGAACAACATACTTAACATTAACCTAAATGCCTGCAAGTTGTTCTGCTGTGGATTTTCCACCGCTATATCATCGTTGACTGGCAAGCTTCTTTGAATCTAGGGTAGGTCACATATTTGGGTTCTGCGTTCTCCATATTTTGAAAACTTCTATTTCTAAGTCCCCATTTTTTTGCTTTTGTGAAGTAAAAATGCCACCTTCTTTAATTCATCCCATGTCCATCTCTGACGATGGCTTCAAGGTATTGCTTCTGGATCCCTGGGACTAACATCCAAGGGATGGTCAAATGTCGACAAGGCTCTGTTTAGCAGCTCATTTTCTGAGCAGGTATGAGACATTGGTAGAACAGGGCACCTTAAAATACATTACTTTTCTTGTACTATTCATTTTTCTCATTGGTTTTAAGTGATATTTGCAGAAAGCAAATACGAGTTCTAAGATCACACTTAATGCTTCAGTTATATCCAGTTATCTGCGACCCACATTAACCTCGGGACATCCCCCCGCAGAGCCCAGCAAGAGTTTCTCCGATCACCAATGGCATTACTAAATCCTATGGGATTTTAACTGACTGCTTCGTCAAAGAGGATAGGACTCAAGATTGAGCCTTGCAGGACCCCATATTCATTTGGTAAAGAATTGGAAAGACAAGTAAATATTGTCCTTTCTTGCCAGTACTTTTAACTTTCTACTCTTTGAGATCGACATTTAAGGTACAAGGTTATCCAATCTAGGGCGATACCACAAATTCTTCAAGAAGGTAGTTTTGATAGCAAGATGTTATGTCAATAACATCAAAAGCTTTTGAAAGATCTAAAAATATTCTAATGGGTGCGTCATTTTCGTCCATTGATGAAGCAACATCTTTGAGAAAAGGAAAAATAGCAGTTTCCATAGATTTTGATTTTCTAAACCCGTGTTGTGAGTCTGAAAACGCTTTGTTTTTTCTGAGAAAAGTTTCCATTCGTGTATAGAAAAGTCTCTCTAATAGTTTTTGAGAAACATGACAAAAGAAAAATTGGTCGGTAATTTTGAATTGTGTTTTTCCTCCCTTTTTTAAAAAGTTTTAATTTTTGCTGTTTTGAAAATATCTGGAAATATTCCTGCGCATAAAGAAGCATTGAAAATGTGAGTTAATGGGTGTATAAAGGCAGGTAAACAAGTTTTCAATACACAATCCGGAAATTCATCTAAACAAGATGAATATTTATTTTTTAGATTACCGACTAATCGACATTGTGTCGAAAATGTTTTGGGAAGGTAATGATGTTGAATGGTTTATGATCTGTTTTTCTATAGATTTTACACACCATAGATATATTCATGAATTTTTTAGCCCCAAAACAAATACTTAATAATTCTTTCTCTGATTGACTATATTTACACTCAAAATCATTTATATTCCTGGACACACGTGAAATAAGTTACAAGTCATGCTCCCTCCCTTTGAAATAAACATGCTCCTAGTCCATTTTTTGATGCATCACATTGCCTAACTAGGTGTTTATCTGGATCATGTGGAACAAGCACAGATGAATTTACCACTCTTTCTTTCAATTCTTCTAATATCTGATCATGCTGTGTTAACCATACCATGCATTTTCTTCTTTTAATAATTCACACAAAGATTTTACTAAAGCGACATGTCTGATATGTATCTCCTAACATAGATGTCCCTAATAATTTTTGTTCTTTGGAGGTTTTATTTCTTTTAATGCCTCTTTTGTACAAGAATATACATTCTTTACTAGAGATTATTTGTCACGTAAACTTTACTTTTCTTGACCTGATTCAATGTTTCATCATGCCCTTTTTCTATCATACCTATTATTAATATTTCATCCCTACATATTACTACATTTGGTATGTTACCAAAATATTGCATTATCTTTTCATCAAACAAATTGCTTGAATATTTCATTCCATAAAGTAAAACCAAATATCTATGAATTCCAAAAGGTGTTGCAAAACAACAGAGCCATGACGATGGTGCATCTAAAATTAGATGATGAAACCCTTCTTCCATGTCTAATACTGTAAATATTGACATTACCTTTCATTTAACTTATATACCTTCTAGCCTAGGCACTAGCTGTTGTTTCCTAATTATAAGTTTATTCAGTTCTAAAGGATCTAAACGTAATCTCAATTTCTTATTTGATTGTTATACTACTACCAATCTATTCACATAGGCTGTACTGTCTAATTCCTCATCTTTTTTATGGCTCCTCTTTTTTCTAACCTTCCTATAATTCATTTTCTAGTTGTTCCATTAACACATTTGCTCCCCTTCTTGATGGATTGCATATCTGTTGTCTATTTTTTTGTAAGATTATTTTACATTTCCCTGGAAATCTCCCACATCTCTCAAACACTTCCTTGTTCTTCTTTATAAAATATTCTCTATCCTTCTCTATGGTTGTTACCTTGTCAATCTCTATTTCCTTACATGGTTTAATTCTTTTCACTAGATTTAGCATGATACATCCTGGTAATCCTAATAACACTTTGCAATTAAGATCTAAAATTATAAAGTCTAAGTATGCCAGAATATCTGTAGTTCTACATGCCAAATTTAAGTACATTTAATGAAATTCAAGCCCTCATTATATATCATAGTATATACTGTACTATCCCTTCAGGTCTGTTTTTCACTTTATTAAATCCTTCCAGGTGAATAGATCGCATTTTGATCTGACTGCCTAACTGTTTATATATTTTTTGGTGAAACTGTAGTCAACATTTCTTTCTGTAGAACACATCCTCTGCTTTGTATGAAATGTGTTGGCTGCCAACAAAGACATGGCCTGAGGAACTCTCTAAAAGAGGAGTTCAGAAATTTCAGGCTCTCATTTATCTTTTTTGAGGGAAACCAGAATGTATAATTTTATTTGAGAGATAGGGGCAATGTTTAATGTTTTTGGCCCATTTACAGCCATTTCTATGTTTTATGATAAATTTTACCTGTTTGGTTTATCATCTTTTCCTTTTGACTAATTTACTTGTATAGTTTGTTTAGAATTCAAGTTCTCTTTTAAGTTATGTACTTGCAACTTACCCACTGATTAAGAGCATCTGCAACACTTTTACTAAATCTATTCAATTTATGTTTAAAAACTTTGATATGGGTGTCAATGACCTCAGTAGTTGAAGCACACTCTAAACCCCAAATCAGTCAATCAAATTATAATGTTTTTTTTTAAGCTGAAAGAAATTAATTGTTCATTTTGGGCATGTGAGATATTTTAAATAATTGTTAGAACTTGACTGTCTCATTTAACTTCTTCACTACACATCTTTTAAAAATTTTATGCATTTTATCAGCAAATATTATTCCAGAAAGATCTCAAGAATTGGGCGATTCTTCACCTTGAAGATGACAAGAGTCTGGCACAACAATTAGAAAGCAACTTGCGGTGTGTAGCTGAATCCTTTGATATGAGAATTTATCCTGGAAGACTCCTTCAAGTTCCAGAAAATACCACTAACAGTTATTTGCACATCCTGGAGTCCACAATTGATCCAGCAATTAAGTTAGTCATTATCCTTGTACCATCTGCTCAGTCTGAAAGATACGCAGCAGTAAAAAGATTTTGCTGCATTGATAAACCCCTCATCTCCCAGGTAGGATTTTGTATTTCCATAAATGTATCATTGTTTAATGAGTCAGTAATCATCTATTATTTTAAATCAAGCCTTTTTATTTGTTAGTGTTATTTTGGGATGGGCAGTAGATGGTTTGCAAAAATATGGTTGTAGAATGGTATAAAAATACCATTCTAAATGTGCTCATGGTAAACATGTCTTATAACTCCATGAATATGTGAATATGTATGTTCTTGTATTGTTTTGCAATTTTGTACAACAGGTAGTTGTCACACAGACCTTGAGTAAAACCCCTAAGGTCAAACATATCACTAAAAATCTTGTGATGCAAATCAATTGCAAGTTGGGTGGAGCCCTTTGGAATGTTACAATTCCCTATGTAAGTTACTATTAAAAATTATATTTAAATTAATGTCTTCAACTGTTTAATTACATATTTTATGAATATCTGCCAACTTAAAAAATGTTTTATAATATGGATGAGTTGTAAACACATAGCCAATGTTATTCCTGATTTGTTATTATAAATGTTAATTTTCAGTACTTTTGAGGTTGTTTGCTTTTCACCAAATTGATTATGTGCAAGTAAAATGTGTCCAATAATGAAACAAAAATAGTGTGTGAAAGAGTGTACATATAAAACCAAAATAAACAGTTAAAATCAGGGCAACAGAATAAAAAAATCATTCTCTAGTGGTCTGTGGAATTAATATTTTCCCTGACACTTCAAGAAAGTGTTTGGTAATGGGTCTAGCTACTTGATTATTATTTGGATTTTCTTTAATTAATCCTTAGAACCATGCCAATGCCCATACAAGTGAGCTCTGTGCAGGCTAAATGTAAATGTAAATCTCTTATTGATATCCCATGGTAATTTGATTGCAAGTACTTCCATATATGTCACAATCTAATATTTTTATAAGGAAAAATATAAAAAACCTTATTTTAAATTATCTATTTATAACAAGCAGATTGCTTACTATTTCTTTTGGAGAAATATTTATTTACTGTTAAGTGTTATTGTTGCACATATATTTTTATTTTTTTTAATTTATTATTCCAGAGTAAGCTAATGGTCTGTGGAATTAATATTTTCCCTGACACTTCAAGAAAGTGTTTGGTAATGGGCTTTGTTGCATCATCAGATCCACTGCAGCTATCTTGGCACTCCAAAGTCGGGTTTGGAGCTTCAATAAAAGAATTTGGGGACACTCTTTATTTGGGCATGTTAAATGCTTTGAAAAGATATAAAGAGGTGAGTGGATCCAAAATATGCTTCAGTGGGAAGTACTTGAATATTAGAGTTGAAGATGGTGTGTTCAAGGTAATCCACACTGAATCCTAAAGGTGTAATGAGAGGTTATTTAGGTCATGCCTCTTGTATTGTGCAAAGACTTCACTCTCATTGTTTTGTTGAAATATGATGAATACCTTTCATCATCTTCTTGCACTTTTTGCATTGTTAGTGTGATTTCACCGGCATCTGGAAATTATAATTCTTGAATGTTTTCAATGAGGAGGGGGTTCTCAAATTGAGGACCTCAATGAACTCAGCAATAACCCCCAACAAATTCAATAAATTTGAATGCTTTTCTTTGTAAATATGATGAGAAAGGAAAAACATATCACCAAATTCCACAATGATGATAATTGCAAAACATTGCAATGTTGCAATGATTGCAACATTATTACTGAATATCAGATGTTTAGGTAAATGCGTATTATATCGAATGTTTATGAAACAGTTTTAGTATAGGTGCACAAATTAAGAAAAAACATTTTAACAGAATTTTATTTTGCTTTTTTGACATAAATACCTGTCTAGAATTATTGTCTATCTTTTAAAGTGCATTTAAAATTATTTATAACCCCCTCCTCTTGGGCAAAAATAAACATTTAAATCATTTTCAGTGTTAGCTCTTCCAATATTTGTCTTCTGGATACGAATCTCCATTTCCTTGTGTAAACTCAATTTGTCATTTGAATATGGCATGGCACACGAATATGACTTATGAGCTCATAACCTTGCTTTTCTTGCACTTCTTTGTATAATGAAACAAAAATCAGGTGATCGCTTGGGTGAATGCTGGGCTCAAATTCTCGTTGCAAGCCAAACACTTGCATGTTATCAGGCAAGTTAATAACACTGGCTCCTGACATTGATATTCTATTGCATCAGATGTTCTTCCAGAAAGGTACAGTAAGGAAGGCTCTATTAATTCAAAGAATTAAACATTAGGTCAATTTCATATCCACTGTCTCATTAGAGGAAATGAAACTGAAATGAAGTGAGCAAGTTCAATGGTTTACTGTTACTTGATTCCTGGAAAACCTTCGCCTTCCAATTTTCACAAAATAAAGCTGTTAATACTTTCTACAACATTACCAAATTTCATTTTTGAACTACTGAAAATTCAGTACTTCCAATTTTCCTGAAAGTATTCAGAATACTCACATTTTTTTTCTTAGTCTTCTTTAGGGGAAATTCAATAATACGTACGTAATCTATTCTCCTTCAAAACCTCTGTGTGAAACATGTAGTAGTACTAAATAACCATTCACTGACTTATACAAGATCTGTCCAATTCTTCCTGTACCTAATTTGCTCAGTCAGAAAATATAATTTATCTAAATTTTTAATAAATTCTCATAGATTTCTAATATATTTATCATTAACTTAAGCACTTCCTTTACTTAAAATAAATACACTTCATCTCACTCATAAATTTCATTTCATCAATGCTGTGAGAGTATTCCCTTTTCTATCTACTCCTTCCTCCCTCGCTTACATTCCTGTCTTCAATGTGAAAAACCCCCTAATCCAAATTGCGTATGTATTTCTCTTGAATGACCTTTATTTCTCATTAACTATTATATTAAATTTTTTTTGAAATTGGTTAGGCGGAAGAGCAGGCTAAATGGCCTGAGCCTCACAATCAATAAAGACATTTATTTATTTTATTTAAAGTGGTTCCTTAAAAGAGGTAACAGAAAATTGTGATTAAGGGGTTGGTCAGTGGTTAGGGAGAGGGATCGTCTGGTCACAGGGGTAATATTTGCATGCAATGTATGGATTTCAGTGTCTGTTCCAAGACAAGTCTGTCATTGAGAAGGGTGGTATTTCAGAGAGGTTTCAATGAAATTTCTGTCCTACTATCTATACTTGAGGCACTATAAAAATGTTGTTTGTACCAAATTAATACAGTTAAAACAAATACGTCAATGCAAATTCAACAATCAAAACCAGTGTTCTGTACAGTGATAAACATCTTAGAAGAACAATGATACTCTTGCAGCCACGTTTGAAACATTCAAATTGCATTGTCCCACTCAGCGTTGCCACTTAGGCAAATGTAAAATAATATGTATCTGACATGATTTACAGGCTTAACCTAAGATTGAGGAATATTTTGCAATAACAATAAAATCTCTAGCTTCAATATTGAAGGTGTAAGACTGGTACAAAAAACAACTTTTGCAATTTTCAAAATTCCAGAGGTTTTAATGAAAAATCGAACCTGAGTCCTTGTGAGAAGCCTAACATTTTCCATTCAAGCAAAATATTTACTGTTGAAGGCCGTGCATTCATCTTATTGTAATGAGCATATTATTTGAAAGGATGGAAAAAATTTTTCTTTGTATTTTGATCTTACAATTTCGCCTACAAAATTTCAATTGTTGTTCTTGTAGATCACTCAGTAGGTTGTGATTCAACATTTCTAAACGCAAAATATATAATGAAATTTTCCTTTAAAAAATTCCTATTCCTTTCTAAAAATTCTTTTATAAAAATTCCTTTACAAAAATTCCTTTTTATAAAAAAATTCACTTTTATTTCCAGGTGTCAGGAGTTTTACCTCATAGAATCTTAGTTTACAGAGATGAGCTCAGTGATGAAGAGGTGAAGTTGATACAAGAAATAGATGTTCCTAACTTCACAAAAAGTTTCAGGGATGTTGCAGTGAAGTACCGACCAAAGCTCACAGTAATAATATGCCAGAGGAAAATTATGACCAGATTGATGGCTGTTGAAGACGCCTGGGTGAGATTGTTTTTGACCCTTTTTTTCTCTTTCAATGCATTTTTGGAATTATTTTTGTCACTAGCAGTTTTTGTATTTTTCACCCTCAGAAGTAATTGATATCTTGGTTCTAATTATATGAAATTGATTTGAAAAATGTTTGAAAATGGCCAATAATAAAGGATATTGGGATAATGTGAGCATTTCAAGGCCAAAGTATTATTGTTCCATATTAAAATCGTTAAATTCTTACTAGTTGTGAAAGAGGTTGGAGGTACATACTTTGTGGGGGGGAAAAAGAAAGAAAAAAAAAAAAGGAAAAAGAAAAACACCTATAAAGTGAAAATGTTATGAAGAATGAATACATTTCTTGGAATTTTTTTACTTTGCTCCATTGGATTTTTGCCTTGTTCACATACACACATACACATGTCAGTAGTAACAGTATATGAAATGGAAGTAGCTTCCACAGCCAAATATTTTTGAAGATGATTAATAAAGATAGTATTGGCCATTATTGCAGAAATTAGGTAGTATTTTTCATTTCCGTGTGTTTTTTATTTGACTAAATGTGATAATTACAGGAAGAATATTTATAATAAAAATTAATATGTATTGTTTATATATTTGTTTAGATATTTTTCTTTCAACTGAATGCACTGTTTGTGGAAAAGTAAAATAAAATAATTCCAATTTTAATTTCAGATTGATTCACTGACAGAGAAGACAATGAAGTATTTTTTAAATAAAATTCTTCTTTTTTTTTATTTCAGGGTTTAAATATTGGCATGTGCAACCCCATGCCTGGTGTAGTGTTAGACCACACCATCACCAGATGTGATCAATATGATTTTTTTCTAATATCCCAGAATGATAAGTTTGGTACAGTTTCACCAACCCACTATGTTGTGGCATATGATAGTGGTGATATGTCACCTGATAAACTTCACAAAATTTCATACAAAATGGCTCATTTGTATTATAATGTGCCAGGCTTAATCAGCATACCAGCTCCAGTACAAGTATGTATAAAAGTTTGTTTCTCAGTTTCACTAAATTATGTAAGGGTTAAAAGGAGATATTGAAAGGTTTCCTCAAACCCTCCAAAACAACCCTTTAGGCTTGTGAATATTTTACTCCATTTTGCAAAATCAGGGTGCATGTAAAATGTAAAATTTTGAGAAATTATTACAGTATATAGAAGATAATTGCCAAAAAAAATAAAGTCCTTGAAAGTTATTGAAAATTACTAAACAGCAAAATGAAACGTATTTAGAAACTTCCATTGTATTTTGTATTATAAAACAATATATATTCATAGAACAATACTTAACAATTGCAAAATAGTATCACTATCAATGTTATTAATGTTTAGATACTATTTTCATCCTTTGCACCCAAGATGTATTTAGTATTATTTTGTCCTACACCTCGAATGTTTTTTTTGAATTATGGAACCAAACACTTATATTTTTCATTCTAGATTTCATCAGTAAATTCAAAAGGCGTGTGCTAGATGACGCACAAAATTTCCTACTGAACTCATGGTATATCTGAGAAACATTTGGGATGTGTAACTTGAGAAAAAATATTGATACATTGATAATTTTAAATGCTTATAGTGGATATTTTGTTCTTATTGTTTTCATTCTTCATTCATTCAAACTTCATTGTTTTCTCATATATTTATATATATGTGAGATAAATATTTCTTCGGTTTCATTCAAACTAGTCATTTTGTGTTTGTAAATTTAGCAAAAGAGTCAAAATGGATTTCGACTTCATATAATTGTAGAATGTGTGGCCTACAAGATGATGAGATTCAAAATATATATTTATGGTTGAGAGTAATGTCAGCGACAGTGTTGATTATTTAGTGGTGCTCAATATTATTTGGAAGATGATATTGTTGGCAATGACAGTATAGAAGAGAATGAGAATTTCAACAAAGTAGTCAGTATGGTTTTTGAGTTAAGGTAATCATAGTGTAAAATTTGTAGCCTATGAATGATGTGATTGAAAATATATTGATAGCTGAGAGTGATGACCACGATGATTCTTTATTATTTAGTGATGCTGAATTTAATTTGGAAGATGATATTGATAGTTATGATGGTATACTACAGAACATGAACCCTGAACTCATAAACTGTGATCCAGGAGTAGATACCAAAGGATTTAGACCATTTTTGTTCAATTTGAATTTGGGTTACAATTCAAGGAGGGCATCTACCCCTATGGAATTTTTCTAGCCTTTTTTTACTGATAATTTAATGAAAGGTAAGATGTTAGAGCCAAAGGACCTACTGTGCAAGCAACCCAAGCCACAGCACCATTTCACAATGCAATTCAAGAGATACCGCTCCAGCTGTAGAACACAAAACCTTCTCCTACCTCAGAGTTGTGGGGACATTTCAAGTTTGTCATCTCTGGGATGTCGTTTGAGTGCAAAGGGTTAAATATTTTGTTTCATGCATTACATAAAACTAAATATGAAAGCTTATCGTTACTTAATGGAATATATTTAGTTAGATTTATTGTTTTCTTAATTAATTTACTTGAAAATAATGAAATGAATAGATATGATTTGTCTTCATTGGAAAATGAAAGCAGGAATGGACTGAAAAAGTATTTCACTTTGGGTCTCCCAATAAAGATTTTTGATATAATCTTTTTTTAATGTTAGCTTGAAATTTAAGAAAGAAGTACTTATAGTGCAATTTCTTGTTTGAAATTTAAAGTAACAAATAGGTTGTCATCCTTTGTGTAACATTTCACTTTTAACCTTCCTCATTCAGTGTATTGGCATACTTCTATCACTTGTTTATGACAGTATCACAATATCCCTATTGCAGTCGCCTACCTTTTCTGTCTTTTGTGCTAGGTCTTTCTCATGCAACAGTCTGTGTGTAATTGAATTTATTATGTAATGATTGAATTACATGTTTATTCTTCAGTGCTCTATGAACACAGGCTACAACTACATGAATTAATTATTCAGTTATATAATATTGAATATAATTAACAACATATAAATTGAGTGAAATTACAAAAAATATTTTGTGAAGGGGACCCTTGTGAGTCATCCACCACTATGTGAAAACAGCACGGAATAAAGAACATTCTATGCTGGCTTAGCTAGACTAAGATATATAGTAATACATATAACTGCAATCAATAATGCTATATTTCGGAAACACGATGTCATTGTTTTTTATTATTCATTTTCTATATGTCTGTACAAGTCATATTTACTAGTTTTAAATGTAGCAAAAACATGTCTAAGGCAGAACTTGAATAAGGTAAAAACCTCCCTTTGCCTGAAATTAATCGTGGAACAGACTATTTTCCAATATTAAGGATACTGGATAAGCATGAAACTTGCCAAACGGAACAAGAATGGAAGTTTTTGTATGATGGTATGAAACATTCTGGATAAGTCAAAAAACAAATAAAATATTGTTTTAAAATTAAACATTGACTTGTGTGGCAAGATTGAATTACGAGACACTCAGATCGGTGCTCATGCATTCACTTTCTTAGCTACTGTCGTCCAACATTTTATTTCCCAAACTCATGTGAAAGCCACTATATATTTATAATATTTCCTTCTCAAATCAGTGTAAAGGAAGGAGACACAAAGAGCTATCCTTCCACGGTTCTTGTAATGCATGCTTTGGGTTCAGTGGTTTTAAATGTTTACTGTTGATCAGTTTGACGAGTTGCAGAGGTTGTGTTAATTAAGTGTTTATGATGTCCGACAGCAAATTGAAAATGTTAACTCTTGGTGAGAAAATCGGAAGAATGCAAAGAAGAATTGAAGAAAATTGAAAAATGCAAAAAAGCAACGCAACTGGCAATGTTTTGATAAGAAATTTAGAATTGGGAAAACTCAAGCATATGACACCTTAAAAACAAAGACAAAATCAAGAATGAGTGGTTAAAAGGAATTTTTATAGGTGGTTGCCACAATATTCATGAGGGCCTTGGCAAATAACTGTAGCTTAAATCATCAGATGAATTCATCTGTTCTTACAAGTCATGAAGAAAATTATATATTTTTTTACTCTATATGGAGTTCTTTGTTTCATTAAACTTCGTGTTGCTTTTCTGTATGTCATTTTCTATGTCTTTCCCAGGACGTCTTCCTATCTTTGAAATGTAATTTTTAGGTGAGATAAACTAGTTGTACAAAGTACTCCATCCTTGAGCAATTGTGTTTCCTGAATTGACAGTGTTTATTGCAAACCTGAATAAGACAGAAATCTGTACAAGACAAAAGAAGATCTTGGACCCAAATATTCTTATTCAGACATGTTTTACTGTATCATGGTTATGTTAGCATCCTTAACCTTTAGCTCTTTGGTCTTTTGTTAGTCTCATAGCCAAGCTTCATGCTTCCCTCTTTTCCCTCCTAGACTATTAATCGCTGTTTTCTTACTTTTTGTTTGAATTTGAAATCCTATGCAAAATTTATTGTTAATAATTAGTATATATCACAATTTTTAGATTAATTGAATAATTTTTGATAGAGAATTAAATTCAAAGCACTTTACACAACATGCACGAATTACTAAATTAAATATTTACCAGTTAACATTCAATCATGTAAATTCCACACTATCAAATTTAATTGTATATTAATGAGGTTCATGAAATGATGTATTTGCTTTTTGTTACATTTCCATATTTCTTTCATACACCTTTCCCTTCTATTTTTTCCTGATTGTTTTGTGATCCATAAGGGCATCAACAGACAACCACCAAGACAACATTGGACAACAAATCACATCATATTCACTACAAAATAATCCCAGATATTGATATTATCATGCATTTAATAGTCATGATATAAATAACAAAATAGATGAAAATCACACTTGTGCTTGACTGAACGAACCAGTGCTTGAAGAATTAACAAATACAATGAAAATTTGATATCAGACACATTTGATATTGGATATTACCTGTGAACAAACTTAATTCTGAGCATGAGTGAGAACGTACTCTTCTCTGGGGTTTTCATTTTCTAGAAAGTTTTACAGTAAGTGTTGATCAGCTAAATCAGCATAGAAGTGGATCTATCAATGGAGAATTATTTTTAATTCAGGGTTGTCTTTTAGTTAGATGGAGCTCTAAGGCTCTCAAAGATTTGGTGCACTTAAGTATTGTCTGAAAAATTTATTATGTCATTTTGCCATCATTTATTCTAAAAAGTTGATATAAAAATTAAAATGTGTGTAAATCTTTCCTTTTAAGGTAAGCAAATGAAATGTTAAAAGATTATTAGACCGATGGAATTATAATCCCTTTAGGGTTCAAATGATTTTATATTGTTTTTTCAACATCCCGTTAGAGAACAAGAATTTGTTAGGGGGATTGTTTGATAATTGTTTATTATATGCAGGACCTCCTAATCATTGGGGCCCAAGTCACAAACCTCGTGAGCCTGTGCCCACAGATGGCCCTGAAAACAATGCATGGATATTATTAGTTATCAATTATAGAACTATGGATTCAGATATTTCAGTAACCCAAATTTCTGTATTATTTGGCCTTATATTATACATGTACTATAAATAATTGTGAAATCAAATAGTCTGTGATGTTTAATATTGTTTCAGTATGCACATCGCTTAGCCCGACTAGTCGGTGAACATCTCCATGAGGAGCCTTCTCCAGCCCTGAGTGATACGCTGTACTTCATTTGAGCAATACTTTATCTGAAGTGGATACTTTATCTGAAGTGGATACTTTATAGTAGGAAAATGAAATATAAGAATGGAAATATATATTAGGAGTTGATTAAATATTTCCAGTACTTCCACATATTTCCAATACTTCCACCCTGAAAAGATTTTACATTTGTGGTACATTTTCAAATGTGGTACATTGTAATTTTGACCGAAACCTTTCCAAGAATGTTTATTACTTTATTACTTATTTGTTATGTCTTCTAATTATTTCCCTTTAGTTTTGTATGTTTTCTTAGTTATGTTTTTTGGTGTTATTGTGATTTTTAAAAATGTAGGCCTTTATGTTAGTTTTGATGGAAGTGAGAACTGAGAATTGTAAGCAATGAGTGTTTATGTAGTCAACCTATTTTTATATTAGTCAGTAAACAGTTGGCTTGTTCTCATTTTGTTCTTTCCCTCCAAATTTTACTGTTCAATAATTGTTTGCAATATATTACTTTTTGATGAGATTTTTTACAAATCAATAATGTACTTTCATTGGAGTCATGGTAAACACTTCTTTAAGGAGTTTATTTTTATAATGAAAAAATAATTCTGCCCAAAAAACTATTACCAAATTAGATTTCATGGTCACACTGTACTAAGGTTCCATAAAAAAGATCTATGAATGTGTAGACTACATGATTTGTTAAGCACATACAGAACATACAGTATTGGGCCAAATATGAAAATCTTCAATTTTCCTTCTCCTTTATTTCCTTCCCTTTTTCCTTGCCTGTCTTTTTACTTTCTCGCTATAGTATTCTAATCACAAATACTATTAATCCAGATAAATAAGCGAAGTGCTCTTGTGGCTTAGGGCGAAAGTTGCTTGCTTTTCACCACTGAGATTCCGGGTCCAATCCCCGTAGAACCTCACGTGAAATTTGTTACGAGTTTGCCTGCTTCACAGGGGCTACTCCAACCCTTTGAAGTGTTCTTCCTTGGATGGTCAGTGTATATCAAGTTTTTCAGCTCAACAAAAACTATGCAATGGATGCAGGAAAGAAACAAAAGGGAAATTGATTCGTGTGTTGCATCCGAAGGCTCTTCGGATTCACCAAAAGATTCAGATAATGAAGAAGCGTTCGTTGATGAAAGTGCATCCACAGAATTTTTAAACAGTCCTGTAAGTATAAGTGAAAGCTATACTTATCTATTAGAGTACTCATATTTAAAGAAAGCCAGTATAAAGAGAAGAAATATACTAAAATTGAAGAGGTTTTATGGGAGAGTGGGAGAGGTTTTATGGGAGTTTTTTCCTTTTTCTCATGACCTGCAACCTGGACCGTTGACGAGTTCGGACGATGAAAAATTAAATCAGTTAAAAGAGGAATTTCGAACCTGTAACAAAAGTGAAAAAATTACCATTTTGACACTGCTCTCAAATAGCTTAAGTATTAATAAAATTAAAAGTGAGTTTCCTGGCTCTGAATACATGGTGCGGAAAGCCAAAGAGCTCGGCATATTATCTTCTGCGCACTCAAAACCAGGCAAGAATTTATCAGACGAGACTGCCAAGAAAGTATGGGAATATTATTGTTCAGATTCTGTTGGTAGAATGCCCGGAAAAAAGATATTATAACATTAAGGATTTCGGGAAGAAAATATAAAGAACAGAAGAGAAAGTCATGGTTTCAATTTTAAATGAAGTATATACAGATCTTCGTACCCTTATCTAAAAATTGACCTTTCAAAGTTTGCATCTCTGCTGTCAAAAACCTATATTTTTGCTAGTGCAAGTGGAACACACACTGTTTATGTTTGTGTTATTCATCAGAACGTAAAGCTTATGCTTGATGCTCTGAAGTTACTGTGACGTCATGGATACTCACAGCGACCACAGACACAGAGCTTTCGTATAACAATATATTTATTAACAAAGAAAACAAAACAAATATATACACTTAATAATTTACTTACACCCTAGCTCTGATAGACCTACTATCCCCTGATCGCGGGAGCGATCCAAACCCGATTGAAGATGGTTTTGATTGTGGCATTCGCCACTCCTACGTTTGAAGCGCGCACAAAGCCTAGCTTCCGTGACCGGATGTCACGCTGGGACACAAAGTCCGTTCTGGCGCACCAGCGGCTGGTTTGCCTCGATCGCAGGAGCGATCTTATCCGATTGAGAATCGGCGTGAATCGTGGCACTCAACCACTCTTCACCTCGGAGCACGCACACAGCATCGCTCCCCCGTGACCGCAGTCACCCAAGGACCTAAAGTTCCCAGGCTTCGTCAACTAGTGACTCGAGCCTCGCGAGCCTGGCTCGCATATGCACCGTCGTGGCGCCAAGTTTTGTGCACACGCACGAGGTTCTCCCACTGTCTCCAGAACCCACCCACTGGCTCTGTACCCTCTGTTATATAGGCGAGGCCCACGTGACCTACTACGTCACGCCACCCCCTCGCTTGTTATAGCAGTGAAAAGTTTCTATAGGCCGGATACTCCCAAAGCCTTGTGTCTCCCGTTTCCGCGTTCTTCCCTTTACGGAAAAACCCTACTTCCTGTGGCTAGGCTAATCCTCCCCAAATAGATGCCATGAGGCACGCTGGCTAATACGTTACATTACCAACATTCTAACTTATGTGTGTCTTCTTACAAAAACATGCTCGCTTATATAATAGTATGCAATCCACCCCGAATTTGTTGCTTTTTTAGTGAGTACTCTGAATGTCCATAGATTTAGACGGTTAAAAATATTTTGGAAGAAACAATGGAAGAAAACTTCAACGAAAGAATTTAGTTCAAATAGTGGGTGAGTACCTACAGATCAAATTTAAAGACAATCGTGAACTCCAAAGAAGATTTTATTGATGGTTATCAGCAAAACTTAGTGAATTGTTGACACATTCATTCAATTCTTCTGAACAAAAGAAATACCTACGAGATCGTAAAATCGTTTCAACCCAGAGAATGCATAGCGTCGTGCAATTTTTCTGAAAACTTTTCCTTTGTTTCCCAAGATGTACAAGGATTGGAATAATACGCAGGCTGCACTGCATCCTTTTATTGTTTACTTCAGATTACCTTGTTCAAATGAATTGTTCAGTGACAACTTAATTATAGTTTCAGACTGCTTATTATATCACAGTTTCTGTGCATCTTTTCCAGCGACACCTGATTCACTTTTTGAAACAAAGAATTGGAAATTTCCTCCATAAAATATTGTATTTTTCTGACAGATCTTTTGCCCAATATAAAAAACAAAAATTCCATAAATATTACATTTCATCTCGAGGACTTTGGAATAATGCGGAATGGCACCTTTTGGCATCAGCTCATGAAAAAAAATGCTTGTAATGGATTAGGCGGGCCTCTTCTTACTCTTGCAAGCCTGCAGATACCAAGTGCAGATCAGATCTCCCAGAGAATTAGTTTCTTGGGCAAAGCATAATTTGAAAAATATACCCGTTGTTTACACAACTGAAGAACACTATAAACAAGAAGCAAGGGACCTAGAAGGAAGATTTTCAAGAGCGCTGCCCGTATTAGGCACCCATTGTTTTCTCCCTCTGGAAAAAGGTGTTGTGCTTGCAAATCCACTCACAAGTAGTGAAAACTCACTCAAACAGCATCACATCCTGAGATCTGAACTTCAGAAATAGAAATGTCAAGTGCATGTACCAATTTTGTAGTTAAATTTACTTTCCGAAAATCCATGCTATTATTATCATTTCTTAGACAACTGTACATTAAACCTCTCTTTTGAGGTTTGATTCTTATATTATTGATATTGGATGACAGTTCAGCCATATTCATGTGATTTCAGTGCACATTACTCCTTGATTATTGGAAGTAGCAACGAGCAGGGGTTCAAGATTTCCGTTACAATCGTGAGACGCATGTCGTGTTCCAATAATTTGTAACTCCTGATCCCATTGACATTCCAAATCCAAACTTTTTATACAGTTTTTATATAAGTAGAACTACAGAATATATATTTTTTCGTTAATTTTAACAATATGCATTTTTTAAAATAAATTTTAAAATAAGTATTCCTAAATTTGTAAACCTTCTAAAAGTATATTTTTGATTCTTCAACATGTGTCAGAATGCCTCGTTTATAAACTTTAAAATGATATAGGAACAATTTTTTTATCTTTGGAAATTACTGAGATAATTTACTTTTTGTTTAGTAATGCGCGCAGTTATTTCGCGATTCTTCCGTATTTCAAATCATTATAAATGGTAATATTTGCTAGTCTTCAAAAGCGGTTATTTTGTATATTTTAAGAGGTACTTCAGAAACACAAAGTTTACAAAAAATCTAAAACTGTCTGGACCTTATTGATTTGAGGTGGAATGACCCGATTTTACCCCCATGATGGCCGAAGTTGTTTAGTGCATGTTCGGGTTCACCACTTGAAGCGAAAAGTCGGTTCGAGTCCCACACAGGAATTTTAATTTGAAGAAAGTGTTGTAGAAAACTATTAGGCATTCAAGAAACTTTTTGAAAATCATTTGAAGCATTTCTACCCACAAACGACTTCGACTACAACAATAATATTTCTTATTTCCACCCTTTGCTCTGTCTTAATTATGATTTTGTGAAGGATTAGGATCCATATTTTTTGACAGACGAATTCTTGTGACTTTAATTTATTCTATAATCGAGCAACAGTTTCGATGATTGTTGCCCCCTCATCAGGCTGTAAAATTGAATTCTAAAATTTTACAGAACAAATTTAAAATTATTTATTGTATTTTAAAAATTTTAAATATATACTATAACATTTCAAAATTCACTTTTACAGCCAGATGATGGTGACAACAATCCTCGAAACTGTTGTACGATTATAGAATAAATTAATGTTACAAGAATTCGTCTGTTAAAAAATACGGACCCTAACCCTTCACGAAATCAAAATAATAATAATAATAATAATAATAATAATAATAATAATAATAATAATAATAATAATAATAATCAATAAAGTCCCGCAAGTCAGCCCTAGTCGCGAGCAATTGAGAATACTTAGCCACGTGGGAGATCGGGCAACGTCAGAAGAATTTTGGCGGCAACAGGGCGATTGCCAGCACGCCTATAAGAGATATGGAGAGCCCGGGAATATGCGTCGTAAGGCCTCGGAAAAGCAGCCGCTGCCTGGGGAGCGCCCGGGGCACGCTTTGGAGCCAGCCGCTGGAGGTGACAGCATGGCGAGCCGTGGTGATCAAGAGAGCTGAACAGGCGGGCCTGATCGGGGAATAACCCGGAATATACTAACGCCGAACATTAGCAGCGACCCCATCATCTCCACTTATATAGCTGCACCTGCGCTTGAAGTGCTTTCCCACGAGAAGCAATCTATGCTTCCAGAGCGACACTCGCCGCAGGCAGGCCAACGCAGAAGGGATGAAGTGCACTTTAAGAAATAAATACCTTCATCATGCGTGAATACTACACCGATTACCTGAAATGGAGACTGACAGCTAACGGCCGTCCCGACAAAAAGTTCCATCAAAAGGAGTTTCTTCAACCTTCCCTGATTCGCTGATGTTAGTGGAGCAAAGAATAGCGGACCAGCGTCGAGCAAGTAGTTCAGGACAAAAGTCTCCTTCTGCTGGCAGCGCAGTTTTGGAAGCAATCAAGGAAGAGTGGAGAAACAATGCTAAACTCCTCAGAACGGCTAGTAATTCAAGCACGTGGAGATAATCAGCTGTGGCAAACTCAGGATGACAAATGGGATAAGCAAGCATGTCAGAAAAGTAACATGGATGATAAGAGTAGAGAAGAGGTGCAAATTCGCAATGAAATTTGCCAGTCGCACTTTGCGGAATTTGGAAGGAACTACCCGACTGGATAGAACCGGGCTATCTCATTCCAGACAATATTGGCCTGCGGAGAGGAATTAGCAAGAGCAATCAAGCGTCTTGAATGAGGAAAGTACTGGGCCACACAGATCTACCAACAAAGAACATCTTTCGAAGAAGTACACACAGCAATTATTGTGCCTGGCGTGTTGTCGCGTTCAAGATGTTACGGTTCAAGCTTTTCAGGCCGGGCGTAAGCAACTGTCCGCGACAGTGTTTGGCCGCGCCTGCCTTGAGCCTTGCGCGGATCATGACTGGGAAGTGAAAGAAAGAAGTGGCCAGCCGGTGGAATAGGACGGGCTGTGGGAATCGTAATAGGGTAAGCACTAGGAGAGGATGATTGGGAGACTCCACACAATTTAAAAAATGGAAATACGCCTCAGAAAACTGAGAAGAAATGTGGAATAAAGCATCGCCTTCTCAATTACAAAATACATGACGAAAGCATGGCCGCGCCTTGAAGTTTCACCCAATTAAAGAACATCTTGGGATGAGCGCACTGCCGAGCAAAAGCTTTTGCGGTTAACAAAACGCCTCGGACGCGGCTTACAGGGAATTGCAGCCTACGAGGAAGCAACAACGAGATTTTCTCTTTTTAAGCAGGAAAGGCAGGTGTCTAGCAGGAAAGTATTGTCAAGAGGGCAAAAGGGTGTAAATTATATTGGAAAGAGTCAAAAGCTTCCGCTCAAGGGCAACAGAATAGAGGACATTTGGAAGGCCTATCTGGCCATGCTGCTGTGTCCCACAAACGAACTCCAGATATGACGTGGATTGGGAACTGGAATATGACAAGGACACCCGATGAATATCCCTCTAAAATGGGGTGAACCAAGATCTCACGCGTGTGGAAATTGTGCCAAGCGCAGCTTTTGAACAAAGGAACATAAGCTGGAAGGGCAACGCTATGCAAGTGCTGGGCCTCCACAATTATTGGGCTCAAAAAAAATTTCCAGGCACTCAACACCGAGTCATATAGCTAAATACTAATTCATATTTTTCCTTCACAAGTCAGATAAATTCTACCCTTCCAAGCTTCCTCACGTGAGAGGTAGATTACAATGTTTTGTTACTCAGGCAAGGGAGGGTGGAACACCTAAATGACGCCCTCTGAATACAGGCCTATTTAACCTGCCTTCAAACTTTCGTACGCCAACTCATAAGATTTTTGTTTTCACAAATTGGATGATCGGGCACAATGCGATGCATTTTTAGGGAATCAAACACACAATCATCTTTAAGCAAAATTGAACAGAAAGGGGGATGTTACGACTGCTGGATTCCCGGGGAGTGCAAGGAGCAACCACAGTGCATTATAGACCTCTGTAATTAGAGATGGGGTCGTGCTGAGTGCTTGGAAAAAGCAGAGAGAAACTTGCAACGCATGGGTAGCTATATGAGCTGCTAGAGTGCGATGTACGCTAAAGCATTGCGACGAACCGTGCCTACCATTCTTTGCTCCTTCAAACTGGTTTGGATGTGATAACAGGGTCCCCCCTTTATCCAAAACTTGGAGCGTCGATTGGAATACCAAAACTGTATTTCTCTTTTAATGTAAAACATATGCCGTCCACACAGATTACTATAGTCTCATCCGCCGAAGGGATTTTCCAGGGGTGACTCTTTAAGCCCTTATTGGTTTCCTGGGGGTTCAGTCCTTGGATCCGCTCTCTACTCTACTTAATTCATCTGATATTATGGAATCGCCATCCTTAAAAAAGGGGAACTCAACTCTTCTTCGTGTCTCTACAGGAGATCTGCCTTACAATTGGATGACACTGGAAGGCTCTTAAATCGCATGACAGCTGAGAGTCATATGGCGCGGCAACTAATAAACGTGGACCACGGAGAAAGTTCACTGACGGCAGTTAAGAGGGTGAAATTCGTTTGGATAAGTGAGGAGAGTGGAATTATATTCGGGGTCATATGCAAGTTATGAATTTTGGGGACACTGATAATGAACCAAAGATTACCTTTCATTGGACCCCCATGAAACTTTACAAATACCTGGGTTTTTCGCAACCAGTCACTACCGGAATGCAAACACATCCGTGGGCGACTCTGTTACTCCCAGAAATAACTAACAAAATGAATTTGGTGTAAACGAATTGCATGGGGTCTTAAAAACTCACTCTCTGCGTAGAAACCTTGTGCAGGCCATCAATTCATTGTATTTCCAAGTGCTGGGGACGATACTCCTTTGGGCGTTATTAAAAGGAGCAATACGGACCCGACAACCTCGCAGAGACACAATTCGAACCGCTATGACTGCGAGAACACCGAAACAGTGATCCACCCATTCAAGTACTGAGCGTTTTTACGCGAGCTTCCAACGCGGAGGTCGGCAAGGAGGGCGAGCTCATAAGAAGATGCTCATCAAAATCTACCACAGCTCTCACACTTGCTTCACTCAGAGGAGTCACTTTCTGGAAAGCATTGGTGGGAGAGTTCAGGCGGAGCTATGTGGCGCGCAGTTGATATAACTATAGTCCGTCTAACTTGAAAAAAGCCTTTGCTTCCCGGCGCTTCAAACGCAATCATTTGGAAAACGGGAAGAGAAGATAACCTTTGAAAGACGGAAAGGCACTGCAATGGAAGGTACCCTCCACGGAGCACTGAGTAAACCAGAAGTCGAGCATCTCTACTCGCACGGCATGGCTCCAGCAGCGGGGATCTCTTTCCCGGAGTACAGAAGCCTTAATGGCAGCTATCAGACCAGAGTGGTACCGCGGATAACATTGAACAACAGAAACTACATTCGTGAGAGAATTCAGTCTACCCATTCATGTCCGGACTCGGTCGTAGAAGTGTGGTAGGCCTACGGACAAGCGAAAGCTATCCAACAACGTGAGCAAGTGGATTGTTGAGCAGCCACGGCACAGGAATGGAATACAAAAAGAGGGCTGATGAAGATGGGCGAAGCAAGGTACACCAATTATTGGCCGTGAGAACGGGGCCCTTACTCTCCATTCCGTGCCGGGTATCTATAAGATATGTGCCTCAGAATGTCTTGAAAAGTTAGTGAGCACAGTTTGTGGTTTGCACTCTATGGAATCGTTCCATTATCACGACAGACATGTTCGGCGGGCAATTAAGACAGATATAACGGTCATTGATAGAAACCAACAGCAGGTTTTCCTTATCGATATGATCAATACCACAATACCCCACACATATCGGGAAAATATCAGAGAGAGATTCCAGGAAGTATGACCCATGCTCTTGGCCTATGAAGTCGCACTCAGTGGGAACTTCAGTACAAGTGACAACTGTGCGTAATAATACGATATCACGCTCGGGAGTGACGTCCCGAAATAGATGGACACTGTCTTCGGGCGACTGGGGACGTGGTGCTTTCACTTGGTACAACGGCAGTGTATATACATATGCATAAGACAGTAACTTTGGTCTTGGGATACATGCCGGGTATTGTCAGAACGCCATCATGAACTTCCAGTAAAAGGGGGCAACCACACACCTGTCAATCATACCTGTGTGTGGTTGACATAGCGGGGGACCAGGGGTAGATTACTGTGGAATAAATGTAAGACCTAATAAATTGAATATGATTAATAATGAAATAATAATAATAATAATAATAGTAATAATAATAAATAATCATTTAAGGCATGGCATACATTCAAGAACATGAATATTATTGGAAAGGCACTTGGGCATACGGCATTGGGGGTGGGGCCAACCGTGCGGGGCCGTGGCGGTGTGGAGGGGGACCGCGCGCAGGTGCCACCTGCCACACCGTGCGTCACGCCCGCTTCCTTCTTCTTCGTGACCTTCGTCCGAGCTGCGAGTCCCCGCCGATAGCAAGACTTTAAAAAGTGAATAGCAACCGCGTTGCTTTCTAGCTTCAAACCGTCAACATGCAGGTGAGATGTACGGGCCAATTCCAATGTCGAATCGTTATTTGAGCCCGAAGATATTTAGGTTTCCGTATTTCGAAACAACTCATTGCTTGTTACTTGATGCTCCGATGCAAATGACGGGTTTTATCCCATTCACCACTCTGTAGCTGTATCTATTAAGGCTAAATTCGACGTTTTTCGTCCAACCAGAATAGTTTCCAGACTGACTTGTCTATTTTTACCTCTCTTTGCAAGTCATATTTTAAAATCATTGTATCTTTAATTATTATTTGTTCTCAATTTATTGTTGAAACAATTCTCGAAGCATACACGTATGTGTATATATTCTAGAATACGTAAGATTATATTAAAAAGGACAGTTTTAAACACTTAAAAAATATTGTCCCGCATGCTTTCGTATACACATTTAAGCCAAAATAGTACTTTAAAATACAACAAAGAGGTAGAATTTCATCGAATTACCTGTGACCCTTCCCATTGGATGTGTGACTTAAAATCACTGGTACACGTTGGTCAGGGTTTTACCGGATAATTGAGATCTTCTCTAATGGCGTAATTTGAGAATCTGTATATCGTTCAGTACTACCTCAGGAAAAAGTCTAAATTGTCCTTTTCAGAAAGAGATAAAAACACAAAAACAGTATTCTTCTTGTGTTTTCGAATTATTTTCCAGAATCAGTTTAATATAAACGCTAGTAAAACATTATTATTGGTGTAAAACATTTGCATACTCGTCAGTACTAAGAAAACATTGAAAGATTATGTAATCCCCCCCAATGTGTGCTGAAAATGGGGTCTTCTGTTTTCATTAAATCTGGAGAAAAAAATATGCTTACAGCATTCTCTACTGTACAAAGAAGACTTGGCCCATCTTGAGGGTGTGTGGTGTTGTGCTTGGGGAAGAAAGAAGGAAAAAAAGAGTCGTGAAAATCAAGAGTTAGCTGTTACAGATGTAGATGAAGAGGCATCTTGGTAACCAATTTCTCATTACCTGATACTATATTATTAATGCACGATAAAAAAACAGATTTTTAATTTCCTTTTTCAGTTCTTTTCTTTCTGAGACCAAGGAGATGTATGATATTCTTATTACGGGCTCTGTTAATTACGCAAAAATTTGGTCTTTCAAGAATGATAAATTGGAAATGAAGCATAAATTATCTCACCCATGGGGCGTTGTTGCAGTTTCTATAAACTCAGATGGGACAAGTATGTAGAAGTAAAAAAAATTGCATGATTTTACTTAATTTTGTAATTTTTTTTAAATTCTGTTTTTAACAGAATTTGCATCAACGACATTGGAACCCAGTGTTTTTCTGTGGGATTTAGAATCCGCTGAAAAAATAAAAAGTATTGATCTTGAGATAAATGACATATATAAAGCAGCATTTACTCCCGATGACAAATTGATTGCGTTTGGGAAAAATACGGGATGTGTGTTAATAACTGATGTGGAGCCTGAAGAATATGTTGAAGAACTAAGGATTTATCCAGAGGGGAATGTTATTAGTACTGTTGCTATGGTAAGTATACAAAAGTTTCAAATGTGTATAAAAATATTGTTGTTTTATTCTTTAATGCATATCTTTCAGAGTTCCGATGGAAAGTACATTGGGTGCGGATCTCTAAGTGGCATTCTTGAAATTTTTGATGCAGCTACTGGAAGAATAATGCATAGAAAGAAAGGTAACCATATGATATAGGATAGTTTGTGACTAGTGGAACATATAGTATTTAAAAATTGGATCGAGATACTATTAATAGCTCCTCCTTTGAACTTTATTGGATGTTATAATGAGCAAGTGATGTCTGTATACTTAAAGAACATGTAAATAGATTATGCTGTTACTTTATTGAAATTGTCTGGAAAAGAATAATATGTTATCAACTTTAGATACCACTTTCCCTGCTTTAAGTAGGTGGACAATATCCATGTACAATATTCTCATTTAAATATACAGAAAATCGGGGTAAGTGGAAATAAACACGACGTATAAACTTACACATATTTATTTTCAGTCGTAATACGAGAATGATTAAGTACGAGTTTCAGTGATTATAAACCTACGACATAAAATATACAAGAATTGTTGTTCCTTTGTCCTGTCCATATTTCTGCTTTGGCAAGACAAATACACTCTTGGTCTTTCACTAAAACCGAAGTGTTTGCAATTGGCGGAAAACATTAATTGCCCTTGCACGTTTGGTTCTGCCAAGACGGTCCACGAGAGCTTTGTCCTGATACAACAAATGTAATTAAGATAAAGCTCTTCGGTTTTGCACTCCGAAACAATTCCTTCAAAAAACAAAGTGATAGAATGGGAGTATCCAATCAAAATTAGATACCTGTAGAGAAATATTGTATCTATTATCACTTATTTCAGAATGTAATGAGATTATTTACGCTTTTTGTGACTTGTTCTGCCGCAATAGTGCTTCCGACAGGAAATTCTCAGCAGCTCATTAGGGCAAGTGGAACCTGATGTCCTCTTGCTTTGGGTGTGTTTCACTTGTCGGACTGCTTGGAGGGGAAACAGAACCTATGCAATTTCCAACAATAATACAATACAATTTGGACTATTTCCAAAGCATTGTGTGCATATATTCATACGAATTACGTATGGGTAAAGAAAATTATATTCTGGTTTCTAAGGCTTCTAGTAATAAATTTAACATTACTGAAAACTTCCGACAATAAATTTTAACTGTTAATAACACAATAGACAAAGATAGCGCCTTTTATTTGTTCACGTGTGCAAACTGTTTGTATTAAAACTTGTCCTAACATGTGCGTCATAACGTGTTTTAGTTTTCTGACTTCATTCGAATCCATTGTGTATTTTAAAATGCTGAATTACTACGTGGTTTCCACCTATGTGATTCCAGCATTGCCACTTGCCCCGGTGTATTCTTAATGAAAATTTGTACATCATTTACCTCAAAGCACATTGCATTGAAATATTATGTTATTCACACAGGAGAAGATGCAGCTATTCACTCTGTGTGTTTCTCAATAGACTGCCAGTTCTTGTTGGCTGCTTCAGATATTGGACACATTGAAATTTATGAAACGTAAGAAATTAAGAGATTTTTTCCAAAGTAATTTGTTTTTAACGTGTAAAATTCAGTAGTTAGCAATCCCTGATGAAATTTGTTTTAATTTTCAGTAAAACTGGCGATATGGTGGGTCGTTTGCCAGGACGTGATGCACGTATTTTGAGTCTTGCGTTCTCTCCTGATAACCAACACTTTGTTTCAAGTAACAGTGACAACTCGATTCAAGTGTGGGATATCAGAACACAGCAGTGCCTTCACACATTCACAGAGCATTCAGATGTGGTGAGATCCAAGTGTACCATTTTTCTAATGTTCTGTAGTTTATGGGAAGCATTCATGAGCTTTGAGAAAGGCCAAGGGAAGAGTCACCATAAATAAGTGCACCCACATCCCACTTTACAAACGATTTTTCAAATGTCTTCATTTATCATTCATTAATTCTTTTTTACCATCTAACACTGAGAATGACAATTAATATAATAATCATTTTCTGCAAGTGTATGTAATTAATTTTATATTTTTGAAGCGTGGTAAGTGCATGGTAAGTAGCAGTTCCTTTCCTCGGGAAGTACGACTATGTCCTTTTTCTACGAACTAGTTCAACATTCACTATGCTATTAAGAATGCACAATTTCACGAAAAAATATGCACAAATTCATAGACTAAAGTAGGATTTCAAAGACTTTATGGTCAGGCCTGGCTGTATTACGTTTAAAGACGTAAACGATCACCAAGTGGTAAGAAAGATTCTAATAATAAGTCTTCAACGATCAAACTGTAACTCTATAGTAAAAAAAACTACACTGGGGGTCCCTCGGTGCCCCCCCCTCCACCCCCGCCGCCTCTTTCATTGATGTATGACTGTTAATCTTCTTTCCAAACCACTTGAATCGTTTCGTCAGCTTGCTTTGGTATGTTTTCGTACTTATACATCGTACCTACTCTTTCTTTCATTGCTTTCACATGTATTATTTTCGTGGGGCCGCCGAAAGTAAACCCAGGCAACGGTACAAAGAAGTTACAAATTGTACTGCAATTGTAGTCAAGTACCTCGTATATGTGTATATTTAAATTTGAAGTACATTAACATGCAAAATTGAAGAAATAAAATACGATAAAAATTAAAGGAGTTAAATAAATATTAGAATTATAATAAAACCGACGAGACATACCGAGGGGCCAGTTTTTGAGCTCCTTGGGCCAATACTTTCTAAAGTGTAGTAGTATATTGCGTGGGCCCCCTTGAGATCCATGGGCCCCAGAGGATTGTGCCTGCTGAACTCCTCCTCCATGGGTCTGTCTAGTGTTTTGATCTTTGGATATGCACATCCTATTTTCACTATATTCTCATCCCTATACAGTTCTGGCACTTAAAGAGCACAGCGTAATCTCCAAACATCTCAATTTTTTTAAAGCATCAGATATCTTTCTTAGTATATATAT